TTAAGTATACATATATATATATATATTTAATTATGTATTATATATATATATATATAATATTTTTGAGGTTATACTTCTTTTGGCGCGTTTTGGAAAGTGAAGTTAAATGCGATCGAAAAATCGACACCACGAAGTTGTCGATATTTACGATGCATGGGCAAATTGAAGTTATTTTTGAGGTTATGGAGGTTATATTCATTTTGGTACGCTAAAGAAGTATAACTTAGCATCTTACGTGCGTACATAAGTACACACATCAGTTTTTTTTTTATATTCATTTTATATATAATACATATACATATATATATAACATAGGTATTTAATATATATGAGTTTCAAAGGGAAATTAAAGACATTTAATAAATTTGATGAACAATTTATTATGACCTTGTTGAACGTTTCGTCCCTTACTGGGGACTTCCTCAGCAACTCGATCACTTAGTTCACGCGTCAATACATATTATTTTATTTTCAGAGTTATACATTACAATAAATTATAGTATAATTAATCCTAAACAACCTTATCTCGTCACACGTAATCATATATATAGATATTTAATTAGTTTTATTTTTCACGCAGACGAATGTTTCCATCCGTAGAAATCACTGTGAGTGGATTGAAAGAACAAGATAATTACTGTATACTATTTGAATTGGCACCTGCCTCAGATCGCCGACAAAAATATGTCAAAAATGGGGAAGGCGGCGATGAAACGGATGTTAAAAGTTTCCAACAACCTGCCATGAAAGGCTGGATGCCGACGAGTTTTGCGGAACCACAACCAGTACTTAATCGAAGGATATTACTACATCCTGATAGTCCAGCTTCTGGAGATCATTGGATGAAACAAAAGCCGATTAGCTTCAGCAAAGTTAAAATCACCAACGATACTTCTAGCAATCAACAAAACGTAAGTCTTTTAAATGATAAAATATGACGACCATTTTTTCTTCCTAATTTCAATTAACCCGTTTCTTAAATACAAAATTTTAAAATAATAATATGGCCGGCCCACGTTGCGGAGAAATTTTTTTTATTTATTTTCTTCAATTCCACGAAGTTGTTTTATTTCTTTTTTTTTATTAATAAAAGAAATAACTAATCATTCAATTAAGTACAAATAGTCCGAACACCGTGTGCACATATTTACCCATCAAAAAGTTATACTCAAATGAAGCGATTTCCTTTGGTCCCCCTATCGTTTAACTTTGGAGGTGTGGGCAGGGGGGAGGGAAGGTGATAGGACATGACCATATACGAAAATTAAAAATATATTGTACCCCTGAGACAAAATGAATTAAATATGAATTGATATTGAAAAGAAAAGAAAAATGTATATAAGAATTAAATGTGTGTCGAATCTATGAATCACCTCTCAAAAAAAAAAAAAAAAAAAAAAAAAAAAGGGAGAAAACAGAAAAAGGAAAAGAAAAGAATTAAACGGAAGCGAATAATAATAATAAGAATAAAAAGAAGAATTTAAGGAAAGTAAGAGACATCGAAAGGTTTCATTTATCTGACCAGCCTCGATGTTTGGACAGCTAGAGTTGTGTCCTTGGTCCCGTCTACCTAATCTTTCGGTATAAGTGTCTCTTTTGCCTGCACTGGTTTCGAATTACTCGTTCCCTTTTTCTTACCATCTTCTTATTCCCTTATGCGGGAGGTCGCCACACACCGTTCCACACATCCTCGCTGATTCTACTATACACACTTTTAACAAACATTCAAAAAATAATAACTGCTTGGTACTAATACTAATGATATTTTACTAATAATTTTCATTCTATTTAAAAAGAAAAAACAAGTAGATAGATAATTATTTAATTATTGTTCAGCCCGGTAAATCGATATTTGGTGTTACAAAACTACTTTTTATTATATTACTTTTTTTTATATTTCTATCAAAAAATAAAATATATATAATATGTATACCTATATACGTAAAAAGTCATTAACCGTGACCATTGATCAATTTTTACAAAATAATTATTAAAATAAAAGAGAGGGGATTGTGTGAATTTACGAATAAAGGGGGAGAAAAAAAAAGAGAAAAGAAATGGTGACAAACGGAACAAATAATTCTTTACTCTGCCCCTGTCTTTTTGAGAATTTTCTTTTTTCTACCTTTTTGCTTTTCTATTTTTTAAACTCGTCGTAGAAAATGTTCTTAAATCTTCTCTTTTTCCCAAGAGAACGTTATTCATCGTTTTAGCACGTATATATATATATACTTGCCGAAAGGTCATTTGAGCGAGGAAGACAACGGCTTAACGTATTCCCAATATAATGGTGAGTGAGTGGTCAGTTCCTAACGTCAGGAGGGGGTCGTTTAAATCAGCTTTAAGATAAGTGTTGCCGGTGTATCTGTATACCTTAGGATTACAATTTTAGTTGGGAAAAAGATTGGTTGCGGGTACTTAAAGGAAAAGACGCGGAGAAAAAGAAAAATAAAGAAAGAAAGAAAGAAGGAAAGAAAGAAAAAAAAGAATAAAAACGATGCAGTAACGCTGCACCGTTGTTCCGTGAAAAACGAAGATTAACACGGTCCACGACATTCTGTAATCGATATACCATCTTTTTCCCCATCTCTCAACATGTAAAACTTGTTTACGCTTTGATCAAGCATCTGCCGTCATCAGTTTTAAAGGCGCTAGCCCCCATCCAAACCCCATAGCCCCATTTTTCACAGTCTTTTTAGATTTTCAAGAAAATTCGCAACGGGATGAAATGTCTTTCCTCGAAATATTTGGTAGCACCATCTTTCAATAATTGATTATTATTCAAAGATTATATTTAATGTACTCTAACATGGCCAAATGTTTTCTTTTTAAAAATAATTTACTTATATAGATAATTAGATATACAAGATAATATATTTCAATCGGATATATATAATATAATATAAAATAATTAAATATAATATAATATAGTTAACTAACAAAAATATGTGATTATTTCAGAAGCTTTTAAAATAATGAACTTGGGAAAAAAAAGAATCAATTATCTTATCGCTATATCTACATTTTCAACTAGTCTATCTTTGTTCTACAAACTTTTTTTACAAAAGCAAAAAACACTGAGAGATGTTCCTTCAACTTATATATTATTATATATTATATTTATTTATTTTTTCTTAAAAGCGTAGAATATTTTTCTGCCGTGTTTTCTTTTTTATTTTATTTTAAACAAATACAAATTTTGTTCGACCATTACGATAATAATCCTCCATCCTCGTGTGAGATAGAACACGTGATTCTAAGAAAAGTTGCAACGACAGAGCTCTCCGGGTTTTAAGAATTACGTCTGCTTAAAATGTAGTCGTCGGCTTTCTTATACCGAGGCGCCAACTTATCTCTGACACTGTTAGAAGGCGGCTTCTTTTATTCGATTCCCCAAACTAATTACGAATTTAATAAAATTCTCTCGGTCTCCGTTTGTTTTCTCTTATTTTAAACCCGTAAGAAAGAAAAATAAATATATATCTACATATATATATATATATATATAAATAACATTTGCATTAACTATGACTAATTTAAATATTATATTTAAATTACTTTGAACAACATTAGAAAAGTTCTTCGTTTCTTATTACTACATTTAATAAAGTATATCCCGAATATTTGTTTAACATTGATATGTTAATTTGTTTTGTATTTTGGATTTTTTCAGCAAATACTCTTGACATCCATGCACAAATATCAAGCTCGCATTTGGATCATCATGTGCGACAATTTATTACATATTAAAGATTATCATTCTTATCCTTCGGCATTCTTCACACTCAAAGAGACAGAATTTATTGCAGTCACTGCTTATCAGGTAATTTCGATTAGATATTATATCAATCCTTATTTGCTTAGCATAATTTTCTCAATTATAAAAATAACAATTGAACACCGATCTTTATCATAATCATTGTTGTTGTTGTTGTTGTTGTTTCAGAACGAAAATATAATACACTTAAAAATCGCCAATAATCCATTCGCAAAAGGTTTTCGCAAAGATGGCCAATCTCGATGCAAAAGAAAAAGTCTGAAGGAAAACAATGTCGCAGGAGATTGTATAAAAGAAGAAAAAGATAATTCGACAGAAATGAAAGATTATTCGTCAGATGTAGAAAAAATAGATGTTATGTTCTTAAAAGCGAACGAACAATCGCAAGCATCGATGAACAATTCATTGAGTACCGACAGTTATGAATTAAATAATAATCAAGAAATTCCCTCTAGTTCTTTATCAAATACTACATGTAATAGTAGAAACAATGACAAAAAAACTCAACCACAATTTCATCGACCTTGGACAGATAATCACGAAATTGAAAAGTCTGATATATTTTTACCGTTAGCCAATGAACCAACTACTCTTGTTCCACCAAGATATTATGTCCGATTCAAGAATCACATTCATTATTCACATTTTCAGGATAGTATTTTTTATTCGCAGTATGATTTTTTTAGACCACATTAATTTTATTCAATTATATTTTATAAAATTTATTTTTCATTTAGGCTATAAGGACTGTTCAATCTTATTGGATATATTTTTATATTAAAAATTGCTCGAATGATCAATTAATATTGTAATCCAGATCAATTACAAAATAAAATTTTTGCATATATTTATAGATCTGGATAATCTATTATAATAACAGCAATAACCAAAGGTTGCAAATATATATTGTTACATTATTATTCCTTTTGAATAAAAAATAGAATTAATTGTTGTAAAGATTAATGAAATGCGGTAAATTTTACTTTTAATAAAAACGTTGGTATCACCATAATTATTTTATTATAATCACCAAAGATATACAAGTAATCCAACTATAACACGATAGATAGATTCCTAGAAAATGACGTGTTCTGTGAATATGAGACCAAGAGTGTTCATTATTCCTTCGTGTCATTATTTTAAGGTAATTTAGTTTTTTAATATGTTAAGCAAAGATCATGTTATCCAGTGCTGTAGAAGTACAGTGTTGTATAAATGTTTTTGCAATTTCTTTATCGTGTTAGAGTGAAACTGTGTTATAGGATACCAGTATTGTAAAAGAGGGTTCCCACAATTTATATAATCCTGTTATAGTAAATAATTATTCAATATCATACTCGCGCTATACACTCGAATAATACAATGGTTCCAAAAGTTTGTTTTGTGGTGCCCCGATTGCTGTAATTTTTTTTATAAAGATCCTCGAAATATTACAGAATGTTTCATAATTTTATTACTATTTTCGATTCCATATGATAAAATGCAAAATTTAATAGACTTCATGCAAACCATTAATTCACTTATTGTTAGTATTAACTGTTTACAAAAGCCTTTTCAAATAAAACGTGTTTTATTTATTTTTAACCAATCCTTTAATAAAAACAAAAAACTCAACTTTTTTGCAAAGTAAACTAATTAAAATTTGATATAGGGCGCCTAGAATACAACAAGTTTAAAAACCACTGGTATAACAACATTGATCATAATTAAGCAATAAAATTGTTATTATAATTTTTCCGTATCATTTATGTTATATTAACGAAGTAGCATGTCTTGTAATAAAGAAAAATACTTAGGTTATTAGATATATAAGTATCCAATATCTATACATATATGTATAT